TTTCTGTTATCTCTCCCTCCTTTCTCCTCGTCCTCCCACTGTCCCAACCCTAGATCCCTAAGGGAGACTGTTTTCTAATGAGCCGTTTTCAGTGCTTTTCAGAAACAGACTTAGTGTACCGTTATATCGGCCGCAAACAGAATCGTAGGTGAACTGTAGTGCAAAAATTAGCTTCGGACCAGCATTTTTATTTATCTCTTATTGGTCTTAAGAAGATATTGTTTTTAAGATACACCTTAAGGAACATTCTCTTAGGACACATAGTTTACTCTCAAAGTTTTTAGCAGGCTCTCTATGATTTGTATCATGTAAATAAACCCTCGAGTCTGAGTAAGCTTAATGCGCATTCAAACTGTTTGGGCTTGACTTGTCTTCCAGAGTTCTGTGGGAAAGAAACTCTCAAAAAATGCTTTTGGGGCCAAAACAATCTATCTCTTCTCTCTCTGCGTTATAGTTTGTGAGCTTTTAATTTGTATCTGCCCAGTTGCCCTCTGCATTGAAGTCTATGGATATATGCCTCTGACCGTTCCTTGCTGCTGGTTGCTCTCCACATTGAAGTCTATGGTTGTATGCCTCTGTCTGTTCCTTGCTGCTCTTCTGGTGTCTCTCACATGGAGCAACTGTCTAGGAAAAATGCTTTGTTCTACATGCTGCTGAACTGCACCATGCAGAAGCCTGCAGGGAGCAGGAAGGCGTGTCTGGGCTTCAGGCTAATAAGGCTCATTTGTTACTAACTCTCTTGTTACTTCCTTCCATGCCCACCCTTGATGAGAGCAGACCAAAGCCGACCTGCTCAAAATCTTAGAAATATTGGAAATGGAGAACGGTTGTGCTGGAAGCCTAGAAACACCCCGCAGCGTTCTCAAGGCCAAGTCACACCACTTGGCCTTGTCCTTAGATACACTTGGCCTTCTGTTTGGTTAGGAGGTAGAGGACTGCTAGTGAGCACGCTGCTTCCTCAAGCTCACAAGCTGTGGGGTCAGTTTGTCGGGACTCTAATCCTTGCCCACCCCTTAACCAATGGCTTTCTGAAAGTCGCTTTTCATTTCCAAGCTTGAAGCTCCTTCTCTGACAATGGCAATAAAGTCGAACTCTCCTCCCAAGGGCAGGATTACATGCAGAAGTGTATGTGGTGTGCCTGGCCTCCTGCCCGACACAATATGGATTCAGTAACGTTAATGATGATCATTATTACCAATCGGGGCTTAACTGCCGTAGACCGAAAAGCAATTTCTAGTGTGTGTAAAGAAATAGTTTAGAAACAGTACATTTTTATTAGAACAAATATTTGTTCTTCTTTACTCATGCTTGGAGTGGGTGGTTGGTTGGTTGGTGGCCATCATTTTTTTCGGTTCAGTGACTAAAGCCCTTAGCAGGGCATCTGTATCAGGTCCTCATTTCTATGCTCCACGCTGGATCACAGAAGGGAGGTAGTTCGTAGTCTCACCTCCAGGTGGAAAGGAAGTGAGCCATTCTAAGTACTATTAAGAAGGAATCAACGAAGATGAAGAAGGTTTATCAGTTCAGAGAAAAGGAAGCAGTACCTGCTTCTCTTTGATAGGCGGGGCCAGCGGCTCAGTGTTCTGGTGCCAAGCAGTCTCCAGAGCTACTCCTGTAAGCTCTCTTCTGACCTCTGTATGCCCTTATACACTCCTGTACACTCACTTAATAAATGTAATAGAAGTCAAATAGGGCCAGTGAGATGGCTTACTGGGTAAGGGCACGAGTTGCTAAAGCCTGCTGACCCAAGTTTGATCCTTGGGACTTATGTAATAGCAGGAAAGAACCGGCGACTTCGACAAGCCTTTCTCCTATCTTCACATGAACACAGTGGCACAAGCACCTCACTGCCAATGAGCTAACACAAACAAAGGCACTAGTATTTATTTATTTATTTATTTATTTATTTATTTATTTATTGTATCAGGGATTTGAGAGATGACTTAGCTGTTAAGAGCATGTGGTTTGGGTTCCCAGCGCTTTGGAAAGCTCACAACCACCTTTGATTCCAGAAAGATGTGCTGCCCTCTTTTGGACTCTGTGGGTGTTTATATTCATGTGAATATACCCCCACACAGATGAACATGTGTATACAAAATAAAGATGAATCTTAGAAATTCAAATAGTATGGGATGATATAAATTAAGCTTTATTTTGTCTCTAAAGATTAAACTGTAAAAAAAAAACCCATTGCTTATGAAAGGTTTTAAAAAACCAGAAAATGAAAAGATAGCTCTGGGGCTTGTGAGGTGGCTTAGTTGGTGGGGATCAAGTGTTCAGCCTTCCGCAGGCTTCATATCTAGACCATAACATCCTGTAGTTTGACTTATGCTTGATAACTCCACCACCACTTACAGTGCTGAGTACCAGTGTCCATGCTTTACCATATGGCCCTTTGGGTGTACATAAGATCCGAACCATGGGTCACCTATTTATTTAAACCGTCTTTCTCCAAAGGCTATATAAGCTTTCTAGTTCTTCTTTCCTTGTTAATTATCAAAGTGAATTTTAATATATATGTATGTATATGCGTATGTTTGAATTCATATATGTGTCATGTAATAGATGTGTGGTATGAGTGTCCCAAAGAACATTTCAATGTTTGGTTGCTGTTCCTACCTTGCCTTCTGAGTGTTTAATCAATGTGGATGGCAGCGAGGGAGCAACAGTCACAGGTTTTCCACATTGCTGTGCCTATATTAAATAGCTTTACATTTAAAAATCTTTTCCAACTTGATAGGAAAATGTAAGCATTTATTTCACTTTTCAAAAGTATTTAATAAGATCCATGTATATCAGTGTAAATGTGTAACATCAGAAATCAAAATGCAAAATCATGCACCTATTGGAAGGGAACAGACATGCTTCTTTCCAGTCATGGAAGAGGGGAAGTGTCTTAGTTGTGAGTCACAATTCTAAGGCAAAATTGGGGGGGGGGAAAGGAGAAAAAGTTGACCAGTTTGATGCCTTAGAAATAGAAAAGTGTCATGAAAAATTGATTCCCCCCCAAAAAAAAAGTTGAGAAAAATGTTGTGACCCCTGTCATAGATATATCATTATTGCTGCCATGAGTATTAAGTAGCCCAGTAGAACAAATGAAAGGCAGAAAAAGAAAAACTTCAGAAGTAAACATGGAAAATTCCACATTATGATAAGAAGAGCTTACATGTATCTGTCACTGGGTGTTGAAATTAGGAGCGGCGGCAGGGCTGCGTCCCCGGCACCCGGCCGCCCTCATGGCTAGCTTATGCCCGAAATAATTACACGGAAACTGTATTCTTTCAAACACTGCCTGGCCCGGCTAGGTCCAGTTTCTTATTGGCTAGCTCTTACATATTGTTCTAACCCATTTCTAATATTCTGTGTAGCCCACAAGCTGGCTTACCAGAGAGGATCTTAACCTGCGTCTGTCTGGAGCGGGAGAATCATGGCGACTGACTCACTCAGCTTCTTTTTCCCAGCATTCTCCTCTGTCTACTCCGCCTACCTAATTTTCTGTCCTATGAGGGCCGAGGCAGTTTCTTTATTATTAACCAATGAAATCAACAGATAAGATACAAGACCCACCTCCATCATTTCCCCTTTTTCTGTTTAAACAAAAAAAGAAAGGCTTTAACTTTAACATAGTAAAATTACATATAACAAAACAGTTATCAAGTAAGAATTACAGTTACAATATTTATATCTATTTTATCTCTTATCATAACTAAGGAAAACTATAACTATCTATTCATTCTTCAACTCCATCAAAGACTCCAGAAGGATATAATA